GTGTGTGTCTGTTAGTGAGTGTCTGTTAGAGTGTGTGTGTTAGTGAGTGTGTGTGTCAGTGAGTGTGTGTGTCTGTGAGAGTGTGTGTCTGTGAGAGTGTGTGTCTGTGAGAGTGTGTCTGTGCTAGTGAGTGTGTGTGTTTGACTGTGTGTGTCAGTGAGTTTGTGTTTCTGTTAGCTAGTGTACGCGTATCTGTCAGTGAGTGTGTGTGTATTTAGAAGGCGGGGGGAAGGGATGGGTGGGGGTCGCGCGCGCAGGGGGGAAGGGATGGGTGGGGGTCGCGGGGAGGGATGGGTGAGGGTTGGGGGTTGGGGCCTGAGTTTTGTCCCGCCTAGGGCAGCACAAAACCAGGATACACCACTGGTGATAGTAGATTGATGGCTGACAGTGCCTCCAGTTCCTGCAATTCATTGTCTCCCACCGGTCCCTTGCTGAAAGCATAGAGTTGGCTGCAGCCCATGGCCATCTGGTCTTTCACCTCACCCCTTGCAAATCAGCCAAGCAGTCTGAGCCACAAGTCATGCAGCAGTCTCTTTGATGACTCTGCTGGCAGGGTTTCCGTAGCCAACCTAGCCCTGCCCCAGAAGTGGAAGAGATTGAGTGCACTGATGCACAAACCACTTATGTGTCAGGATGTCGACATGCAAGGACCACTGCAACGCCTCTGATGACGGGGTCAACTGCTGTGGCTTCGCAGTGTGCAGACCGCAAGGAAGGCAGTGTTGAGGAGTGGGTGGAACATGATGTGGAGGATGATGAGGTCCTAGACCCACATGGAATGGAAGGTCATGCAGTGACGGTCCAGTTTGGAGGAAGAGGCAGTGGTCGCACAGAGGCACCAGCACAGCATAAGAGAGGAGTAGGTGCAGAGCAGCCGTCCCCTAGACGATATGCCATACTCCCGCACTCCAGGGACCAAGCACACCAAAGCCAGCCCAAGCGTTCCTGGCGGAAGTTCTTCCAGACAATGTGCTGATGACAAGACACGAAAGTGGTTTGCACAAATCAGAGCCTGAAGCAAGGAATAAATGTGCTAAACCTGAGCACAACCTGCATGACCAGGCATCTACATGCAAAGCACGCAGCTGCAGTGGCTAAGCACCTCAAAAAACAAGAAAGGTCTCAGGCTCCTCCTGCTTCCTCTTCTGCTGCTGTCTCTGCCTCTTCCTCCACCTCTGGAGTCAAAATTGCACCTGCCACCCCACAAACAGAGGATGAGGCAGCGACGCCACCATGCCTGCCACTGTCCCCAAGCATCTCCACACTGTCCCATGGAAGCATTCAGCTGTCCATCTCCCAAACACTGGAGAGAAAGAGGAAGTACCCCCCTAAAAACCTGATGGCGGTGGTTGTCCCACAGTACGTGGTTCCCAGCCGCCACTACTTTTCCAGATGAGCCATCCCTTCCCTGCACAACCAATTGGTGGCCAAAATCAGGTGTGCACTGCGCAAATCCATCTGTGGCAAGGTCCACATAACCACAGATACGTGGACCAGTAAGTGTAACGGATCACCTTCCGTTAATGGACGCTTCCTAGCCTGCGCCGAGGACCACAAGCACCGCACCGACACCACAACCACCGCAGACTCCACAACCGCCGTAGCTTAACTGGAGTCTCACCGTCTTCCTTCCACCCTGGATCAGCTTCTGTCCTCCAGGACCGTGTGGGGAAGACCTCTCCTCCAGGAGAGCGTAACAGGAACAGCTCTTAAAAGAGCTAAGTGATTAAAAGCTCAAGGGAGTATGCAGAGCATAGCAATCCCCAGTGTGATTATAGCAGTTCCCTCCAATAACGAGACAAGGCTACGTATTGAGGGTCAAGAAGATCTGTAGTCGCTGCTCACTGAGGAGACGCTCACCTCGCCAACACTGTCCACCCTCCAGGGCTTCGTCCCACATCTCTTACCTGGTGCCCTCTCTGCAGTCCAACCTGGTTGCCTCTGATACTGGCTCACCCAATGGGGCCAAGAGGCTCTGTAACCTCCAGTTGAACTCCTCCTCCACTTCGAGCGCTGTCCAGGGACTTGCTGGCTCCATATCGCTCCGTAATAATTCCGGTGTCTCCAGGGTGCTGGTCCTCTCACTAGAAAACCATCCCAATCTCTCGGTCCGTGACCATGGGCCCTACACCAGGAGGGGGCCCAGCGGCTTGCCCTGTATGCCGCCGGGATCCCTCCAATCAGTCTGCCCAGGACCTACGGTCTGTAGCTCCGCTGAGTGAAGAGCTGCAGACCGTGTGATAGAGGTCTCGCGAGCACCCAGAGCGTTACCATGGCAACACGCAAACATTACAAACAAGTACACCACTACATTCCAATGGCAACAGTACATACAAATACACCCATACATGCACACATATACTTAATACAAAAACATGCTTACATTCAAATGCTCAAACACTGCTCACAAATATAACCCTGCAATGATAAGAAAATGGTAGATCCCCATCTGGTATAGCATTGTTGAAGTTCTCCGACAGATGGAGATCTACATTTTGGCCACACTTGCACTAGAGGGGGGCCCAGAAAACATATTTGCACCAGGGCACTCTCTACATTAGTTCCACCACTGGGATAATCAATGTGAGGTGCCTGGATGAAAGAGCAGGACACAGCACTTCTGATTCTGAGTCTGTGAGTAAGCAGTTGTATGTCTCTAAAACTGATTGCCATGATGTGCAAAGTTTCTGCCTCTAAAACTGCCATGATATCCCAGAATTAAGCCTCTAAAACTGCCATGTTATGCCAATTTTATGCATCTAAAGCGGATTGCCAAGGTGTGCCAATTTTATGCTTTTAAAACGGATTGCCATGGTGTGCCAATTTTATGCATCTGACTGTTTGCCATGGTGTGCCAATTTTATGCATCTGACTGTTTGCCATGGTGTGCCAATTGTATGCCTCTGAAGCTGATTGCCGTGATGTGCCAAGTTTATGCATCTAAAAGTGATTGCCATGATATGCCAAGTTTATGCATCTAAAGCTGATTGCCATGGTGTGCCAAGTTTATGTATTTAAAGCTGCAATGATGTTCCAATTGTAAGCCTCTAAAACTGATTGCCATGGCGTGCCAATTTTATGCACCTAAAGTTGCCATGATGTGCCAAGTTTATACATCTAAAACAATTGTATGCATCTAAATTGGATTACTATAGTGTGACAATTGTATGCCTCTAAAGCGGTTTGCCATGGTGTGCCAATTTTATGCCTCTAAAATCCTGAGTCTGTGAGTAAGCAGTTGTATGTCTCTAAAACGGATTGCCATGATGTGCATCTAAAGAGGATTGATATGGTGTGCCAATTGTATTGTCTGCCAAGTGGGTCTCGAAAAATTACCGTTTTGAAAAGTGGGTCTCGGCCCATAAAAGTTTGTGAAGCCCTGAGATATACTATTCATGGATAAATGTCAATGAAGAAATATCATATTATTTACTAATGTTAGTGGAGTATAAATAATCTTAAACACAGTTTCACACAGGAAAACCAGACACCAATGACAAATAACACTAAGTAATTAGTTTTACTTTATAAAAAAGCAAAAAAACTAACGGAATCTTACAAAGTTCCATTGTAAGAAAAAGGTGAAATTAAGGTTAGGAGCTGTCAATTCTAAAATTACTATCGAAATTGCCGACACTCTGTCGTGGTGTAAGAATGAAAAAACCTTTGAAATTGGCAGGAATTAAGATTTATAGTACCTATAAAGATAACCGAAAATGATGTCAAAAGCATCACCAATTTCAGTTAAACCATTATGCAAAAAGGCAAATGGACCCCCTGACAAGAATTTATGGTGATGTAATTGCGCCACTGACCAAAAACTAGATGATAGTCTGTAGGGAAGACACACCTACAGTTCCCTATTGGTCATATCAATTAGTGACGTGCAGAGAGTTTTTCCCTTTAAAAAGTAAGGACAAAGGGAAGAAAGGGGAATTCAGCTCTTTAGGACATTCACACTCTTTAAAACATTTAAACTATCTTTGAAACATAGTCTCACTTGGACTGTACTCAAGAAACAACACTCTCTTGGACACCTAATTTTCACTATTATTTTTCTTAAACTAACAACTTCAGAACTCTGAAAACTTTTTCTATTTCCATACAATTCTCTATACATCATACTTGCATTCAAAATTCCTGGGACATATCTACACAGCTGAGAGAATATCTACAACATAACTGGTAATTATGCTGGTTTTATTTAATTTAAAAAAATTCATTACTTTTTACTAATAGCAGGAAAATATATCTGGATAAATATTGGTCAGATTTCGGTCACTAACAAAGCGGCAGATGCGTCCGCTATCCTAGACCCGCATGGTGAACCCCTGTTTGACCCAATGCCCTGCAAAACCCGAGGTTGGCCGAATGGTACCCGACCGAGCACATAGCACGATATATAGCGTCCAGATTCAGGAAACCCCTGGATAAGGCCACAAGAAATATGCATAGCGCAAAATGCCCGCACCCTACGGTCCCCGACATGGCCTGCGTCACGCCGGACATAGACCCCAAAGTGGCCCAATATCTGGGAAAATCTGGCTGGAAGGCTAAAAAGGGGCTTGACTATTCCTTACGCCATTGCCAGGACAAAGTGCTTGATGCATTAGGCCCTAGTGCCAAAATCTTCTAAATGATCGAAGCTGCCTTAACAGGGACCCCAATTGATCTCCTGGCCATTAGGGGTTGGGTCGGCAATGCTAATGCCGCATTGGCTACTGAGCGGCGGAAGGCTATCCTTATGAAAATTGAGCCGAAACTTGTTAACATTGCCATATCTGAGCCTGGGCCACAGGTAAAAGGCCTCCTTTTCAGAGATAACTTCGTAAAGGAGTTGGGTACATATGTCAATACCTTTATGGCCTTAGGCAAGGCACAAACAAACATGAGGAGAGTGTTATCTCCCAAGATTTTTGGTGGGACCAGCAGACATTGTGGCCGTCTGCCCGGTCGTTCCTCCCAGGGTTCTTACCGGGGATACCAAGGCCCCGCCACGCCTAGATTCCAGCCTCCAGAGAACAAGTCCCCTTCGCCCTTCTTCCCGGTCAGGGGCAGATCGTTGCAGTCTCGAAGGACCAGGGGCGCCTCGTATGGCCGAAGGCTTTATGGTGAGTATTCCATCATCCCCTTCCCCGTGTATGTGTGGGGCAGACTGTTTCACTTTGTAGATGCTTGGCGCAGCCTGACAACAGATGTTTGGGTCCTAAAAACTATCCTTGGTTACCATATCGAGTTTGTACAACACCCTGTCCAAACCTCCAGGCCACACAGTATTCTCCACACAAGACAGGACCCTAGTACGCGAGGAAATTCTCGCGCTGCAAGAAAAGGACGCGATCTATCAGGTCCTGCCATCTTCTCCCAGTTTCGTGAGCAACCTTTTTCTGGTGCCCAAAAAAAGCGGTGGGGTGCCACCGGTCATCAACCTGCGCCCCCTAAACGCATTCGTCCGGTACCACCATTTCAAAATTGAGGGAATCCATTGCCTTAGGGACCTCCTCAGATTGGGGACTAGATGGTCATACTAAACCTACAGGACGCCGATCTCACAATCCCCATTGCCGAAGACTGTCACCACCTTCTCCAATTCCAATGGGAAGAGACGACGTGGCGATTCTAGTGCCTCCTCTTTGGACGATCATCGGCCCTGTGGTGCTTTACCAAACTGCAGAAACCTGTGGTCGCTCTCCTACCCAGCAGGGTTGTGCGGATGATCATATACCTGGACGATATGCTGATCATGGCACACAACGTCCACCAGCTTCGGCAACACCTCTCTTGGGCACTGTCCCTCCTACAAAATTTAGGATTTTTAATCAATTGGAAAAAGTCGGTACTAACCCAGTCCCAAACCATGGAGTTTCTAGGATTTAACATAGACGCGACAAACTGGACAATCAGTCTACCACCCATGAAGGTCAAGATCATCAAGAAGGAGATCCGCAGGACGTTGGCACGCCCAGTCTTAACCTTGCGGCAGCTAGCCAGGATAATAAGCATCCTCTAAGCCTCCATTCAGGCGAATTTCCCGGGACCTCTTCACTACAGGGCCCTACAACGGCTGAAAGCCACACATTTACGTTTGGGTCACTCAAACTCCGACTCCGTTCCACTCGATTACGTAGCCAAACATGAACTCGCCTGATGGCTGCAACACATGGAAGTGTGGAACGGCAGAGCGATCTTCGTAACTGCCCCGGACTTCATCATAGAGTCCGATGCGAGTACGCGTAGTTGGGGAGCGTGCTGCGGTCTTATCTCTACAGGAGGAATAGGGTCCTACTCAGAAAAAGAACTGCACATCAACAGCCTGGAACTCATGGCAGGGTCATTTGCCCTAAAGAGCCTCCTCAGGGCTGCGACCAACTGCTCGATTGTTCTGCGAATGGACAATATATCTGCGGTCCGCTACATCAACCACCTTAGTGGCACGAAATCCAGGATCCTGACGGACCTGGCCAAGGAGTTTTGACAATACTGCCTGGATCACAACATATCAGTCCAAGTGGAATACATTCCCAGCCTTGTCCAATATAGTAGCGTACTGGAACTCCAGACATCTACGAGACACCAGTGATTGGCGATTGGATCGCGAAACATTCCTACGTCTTCAAATGCTCTGGGGCCTGATGTACATCGACCTTTTCGCATCTCGTTTGAACTCCCAAATACCAACGTTCTTCAGTTGGAGGCCAGACCCAGACGCTATAACGGCAGATGCCTTCCTCCAACAATGGCTGAAAAGTCGATTGTATGCATTTCCTCCTTTCTCCTTAATGGCTCAGACATTAGTACACCTCAGGCACACTCAAACAGCGCTGGTCCTCATAACTCCATTCTGGACTGCTCAACCTTGGTTTCCTTCACTCATGGAGATGTCCATCGATCTTCCAAGACTACTACCCGATGCCTCATACCTTTTACTGGATCCCAAGGGAAATCCACACCCCCTTTTGATTCAGGGACACCTCAGACTCTTATTGTGGCGCCTTTCCGGGGACCCTGGGTTGTACCAGATGTTCCACAAGAAACACTCGACCTACTGGCAGGAGCATGGACCCTGGAACAAGACGATCCTACAACTATGCCTGGAACGGATGGAGTAGTTGGTGCATGGAACAACAGGTGGATCCCGTATGTGCTCTTGTGAATTACCTGTTACATTTCCTTACCAATCTGTATAACCATGGATTGGCTTACTGCACTATTAATGTCTATAGATCGGCGATCTCTGCTGGCCGTCACGGACGAGAAGGGACTCTAGCCAGTCAACAGCTGTTGGTGTGTCGACTCCTACGAGGTATTAAATTTGCTCGACCACCTTAACCTCGATACATGTCGTCGTGGGATGTGAATCTGGTCCTCAACTTATTGGAATCTTGGCCACGGAATGAGGGACTCACGCTTAAACAGCTGTCAGCAAAAATGCCCATGCTTCTCTGTCTGATATCTTGCAAACGGGTTTTTTAGATGTTCGAGCACTGGACACAGACACATGCTCCTTTACCCCTACAGGAGTTTCCGTCAACAATACCAGACGTACAAAGTCATCGATTACCTCGGTTTCCTATCCTTCGTTTCCACATAATGTTAAACTCTGCCCAGTGACTTGTCTACAGGAATACGAAAAACGAACTCTGGGATTCAGGAGTCCAATAGATTAGTAGTTGTTTTTGGCTACCAAAATGCCTCATCACCCTGTATCTACAGTGACGTTAGCCCGCTGGGTGAAATGTATAATGACTTCAGCCCACATAGATACATCTGTGTATGGCGCACTCTCTACTAGAGGAGCCATTGCTTCAAAGGTTTTCAATTTATTTCACAGCTTTGAACTAGCCTAATAAGAGCATCCGTGTCCTTTAATAAAATTACAAGATTTTACTAATTACATGACGTAAACTCATGATTTTATTAAGGACACGGAGGCGAGTATTAGCCGACCCAGTACAGAGGTTTTTTTTGAACCCAGGTACGTAATGAGTATTGATTGTAAATGGATGAATTGTTGTCTCTGTTTGCTCGTCTGATCCTAGAGATGGTTACCTACTAAATGCTTTGTTTAAATATAACTGATTATATGGTTTGATAGCATTTAATATTATGATAATATGAACGATAGTCTGTGGGAACATATTTTACCATTTGTTCTCTCTGTTCTTTCCAGCCTGAACTGTTATGACACTTCCCGGCAACACCGACATCTTCCACAATTTAAAGCAGGGGTTCTCAACGTTAGTCCTCAGGACCCCCTACCAGTCCAGGGTTTAGGGATTACCTGGGTGTGTCTCAGGTGTTTAGAAAAAAAAAAAACACCTTAGAGTGTAAGGTGTTTTTTTCCCTTTTTCTAAACACCTGAGACACACCCAGGTAATCCCCAAATCCTGGACTGGTAGGGGGTCCTGAGGACTGGGTTGAGAACCCCTGCTTTAAAGGATCAGTTCTCGAAGATACGTTTCCCTCGGAAGGATTCGTCGCCAAGACTTCTGCTATCCGCCTGTTTGTGTTTGATTACGTTAATTTGTTTTGGTTTTGTTGTCATTGATTATTAGCTTCGGCATCAACAGGAAAGAGGAATAGATGGGGGGCACATGGTAGTATATGATATGTGGACTATTCCCATAGGCTAGGATATAGTGATATAATGATTAACCCTGTGAGGGTATTTGTTTATTTTTTCTACTATGAATACCTTATCTTTCTTTGCTGCTGAGGAATAAAAGAAAGAGATAAGCCTAATAAGAGCCTCCGTGTTCTTAATAAAATCATGACTTTACGTAATGTAATTAGTCAAATCTGGTAATTATTACCCCACCAAAGTGCTCTGAACTTGGCCTAGCAGATACAACCTAGCTGACAGTCCTGATTCTGGGCACCTGGTGGTGCTAGAACACCCAAGATTAAGCTTGAGGAACACCAGAGAGACCAACCCAACTGCCTGGAACTCAGATTGAGAGTTAGCCACAACCTGGCAATCCTTCAGCCAGGTGGTGATCGGACATAATATGTGCCATCAGGGTGCTTTTTAGACTGAAGGTAGCTGAAGGGGCAAGCTGTCTGGGGATACCTAATTTGCTGGGTCCCATGCTTTGGGAGAGTTGGTAAAGCCTCTTCCAGAGCCCTGTCTGGAGAGGACTCAGTGGTGGATTAACTTATAAGACCAGACATGGTGGCGCTCTAAAGAGAACTCTGTGTTGTTAATCACCACCTGGAGGGTGAATACACATTTTGTCCTGTAAATAACAGAGGCAAGCATTCTAGGGACTTGTTCAATAAAACAATTTATATTTGTCAACGTTTCTGTTTCGATTCAAAACGTTCCTCAGAACAGGTGAAAAGTTTTAAATTAAAACAGAATTGTTGATAAAAGCTAAGGTTTATTGGAGAAGACCCCAATGTGCTTACCCTTTCTTTGGTGAATTGTATACAAGCAGCTGGATTTAAGTACCGAGCACATCATAGATCTCTTTGGATGCCTGAGTGCAAGCCCCTTGTGGATGTGTGTGTCCAATAAAATATACTTGCCTTCAGCTTTTATCAAGTCTCAGCTGCTGCTAGAGAGACTGGCTATACGCACTCTGTTCTGCGGGAACAAGGAGAGAGGTTAATGGAGATACTCAGGCTGCGTACAGGAACTCTACTACAATAAATTCAGATTGCGCCTGAGTGACCCTTGTTTAATTATAGATTTCATGGCTTGAAGTAACAACCAGAAACCCATCTTACTTTTTTAATATATTACAAATTCTGAAAGTGTCAGAATATTTTTCCCAAGCATTCTATGATCCAGTTGGCAGTAGCTTGGGGCTAACAAAACAGACATTTGCAAGAAAAACTTATATGAGCACGTATACACCCTGTTTATTTAGGGCATTGAGACACTGAAAATCCAAGTACAAATGCACTGAAGAAGAGTCTGTATCACATAATTTATCTACTGCTATTTAAATCCCAAGTTGCTGTATGGTATTTCTGTACGAACCACCACTCACGAAACAGTGTGTGAAAAATCTGATTATTTTTAATATAAATATTACGTTGATTAACATTTCATTATGCACAGTAATCAGGATAATCAAGGAAGCTAATGTGTAATGTTCTTTCCGAAGTACTTGCACAAAACACATAAAAGTATGACTGCGTGAAGAGCTGTGATGACTGTGGAGGAGTTTTGACGTTAATGCAGAGCCTAACAAGAG